AGAAGGAGAAGAAGGAGAAGAAGGAGAAGAAGGAGAAGGAGGAGAAGAAGGAGAAGAAGGTAGCTCACCGAGCGGAAGATCATGTGCAGCGGCATCGCGATGTTCAGGTTCAGGGCGTAGTTATTGACCACGCTGACGGTGAAGAACATGGCCACCATGATGAAATAGTTCCTGAAACGTGGAAAAATTCCTGGGAGATGTGCAGGAGCCTCCCTGAGATGCTGAGAGACCCCTCAGGAATGATCGTGGGATGCATGGAGAGGTTTGGAGCAGAACAGTTTCCAGGTCTGTCACCAAGCTCATCCCCAGTGGAGAAATGTGAAGTGAATTTGGGTGATTTCCCAGGAAAACTTTCCCTTCCCACTCCCACCACACCAAATCCCAGAGATAAAAAGCTCTTGAAGCACAACAAACTCTTCCCTGTGCAAAACTCTGCCCTGTTCCTGTGACAGGGAAGGATCTGATGGCAATTTCCCATTAAAAATTAAAAACTCCTGATAAACGAGTGGGGATTTTATCCGGCCTGACAACTTCCCAACGTGCCTCTGCAGATGCTGCAGGATGGATGGGATTTCCACAGGATTAGTGGAAAAGCCACTTTAGGAGAAGTTTTTCGGAGATAAAAGAGAGATCCAGGCCACTCCTGCTGGGAAAACCTTGGGATTGTACCTGATGGGGATGGCCGGGCGCTTCCTCCCGAAGTTGGCCTCGAAGATGAAACCTTCCAGAGCAATGAACAGGAACTGGGAGAAGGTCACGATGTTCCCACATCCCGGGAACTGCCTGCAGGCAGGGAGAGACAGCATCAGAGCCATTCCAGGGAGAGCCAACACTGGGATCCAACAAAAGGAGGCAGCAGAGCCAGAATCCTGTCCCTTTTCCCAGAATCCTGTCCCTCTTCCCAGAATCTTATCCCTTTTCCCAGACTCCTGTCCCTTTTCCCAGAATCCTACCCCTTTTCCCAGAATCCTACCCCTTTTCCCAGAATCTCATCCCTTTTCCCAGACTCCTATCCCGTTTCCAAGACTCCTGTCCCTTTTCCCAGAATCCTATCCCTTTTTCCAGAATCTTATCCTTTTTTCCAGAATCTTATCCTTTTTCCCAGACTCCTATCCCTTTTCCCAGAATCCTATCTCTTTTCCCAGAATCCTATCCCTTTTCCAAGAATCCTACCCCTTTTCCAAGACTCCAGTCCCCTTTTCCCAGAATCTCATCCCTTTTCCCAGAATCCTGTCCCTTTTCCCAGACTCCTGTCCCTTTTCCCAGAATCCTGTCCCTTTTTACAAAATCCTATCATTTTCTCCAGAATCCTATCCTTTTTCTCAGAATCCTACCCCTTTTTCCAGAATCCTACCTCTTTTCCCAGAATCCTATCCCTTTTCCAAGAATTCTACCCCTTTTCCAAGACTCCTGTCCCCTTTTCCAGAATCCTATCCTTTTTCCCAGAATCCTACCCCTTTCTCCAGAATCCTATCCCTTTTCCCAGAATCCTACCCCTTTTTCCAGAATCCTATCCCTTTTCCCAGAATCCTATCCCTTTTCCCAGAATCCTACCCCTTTTCCAAGACTCCTGTCCCCTTTTCCAGAATCCTATCCCTTTTCCCAGAATCCTATCCCTTTTTCCAGAATCCTATCGTTTTCTCCAGAATCCTGTCCCTTTTCCCAGAATCTTATCCCTTTTCCCAGACTCCTACCCCTTTTCCAAGACTCCTGTCCCCTTTTTCCAGACTCCACCCCTTTTCCCAGAATCCCATCCTTTTTCCCAGACTCCAACCCCTTTTCCCAGAACGAGACCCACCCTGGAGAGGTTTTACTCAGGGTTTGTTCACCTGAGCTTGTGCAAACACCTGCGGGGTGTTTCCTCCAACACTTCCCAGGAGGAACTGGGAATGTTGGAGCAGTCAGGTCAGGGAGTGAAAGGAAAAACTGCTGGATCTCTCTCTTTCCCAGGGAAGTGGCTTTAGCAGGACTCTGTGTTTGTTAGAGGTCAGGGAATCTGAGGTAATCTGCCTTTCCAGGGGGAAAAGGCAGCTGGAAATTCAATATTCCTCATGCCTGCTGCAGCAGGGAAGGGCCAAGGTCGGGTCTGTGCTGGCAGAGCGTCCCTGGTTCAGATTTGCTCAATCTCCTCTAAAAAAGCTTCAGCTCCCCTGGGATTTCTGGATGCAAAAAAAAAAAAAGAATTTTGGTTGTGAATTCTAGAAGGGACCAAAACTCCTCACAGGAGCCCAAAAAAAAGTCTTGGAAGAAATCCCACGTGACATCCACGGATCTTTTTAATGTGACAGCAACTGCTCCAGGCTTCCAAATCCACAAAATTTTGGCTGAGCTCAAAAGGGACCCTCTTAGTCCCTTTTTGTCCCCCCTGGAGGGACCCAGGAGTGCAGAAATGCCACCAGCTCCGAGCAATCCAAGTGTTTATCCTGTGGGAGCAGGAATTCCACAATTCCACACCAGAAATTCCACAATTCCACACCAGGGAAGGATTTCCTGGGAAGCAGAAGCTCAGAGGAGGCCATGACAGGGAAGATATTGAGAAAGCTCGTGGGAGATGGAGGGATTTAGGGAATCTTTCCCTTTTTTTTTTCCTGGTGCAAGACAGAAACTGAGGCCAAGCATTCCTGGGAGAGCGCTGCTCCTCACGGAACATGCTGGATGCAGTTTTGCAGGATTCAAGCTGGGAAATGCCCTGGAAAACAGGAATTTCCAAGCTGCCTCCTCCAAATTCTCCTCTGTCACCCCACAGAGCTCTGAGGAGCAGCAGCCACCTGGGGAATGCAGGACTGACCCAACAACACCTGGAAAAATCCACTTTTCCCTGCTTTTTCCAGGGATGGGCACCACCCTGAGGCACTTCCCTCTGCCCACCTGCCAATTCTTCTTCCCAGAAGAAGAATTATCCATAAAAACTTCATTATCCATAAAACTTCAGCTCCGAGGCTGAAAGGTTCAAAAGTTCCTGGGAGAAAGAGACCTCGAAGCAGAGCCAGAAGCTCTGGGATTGCAAATCTTATCTCCAAGCCTTATCTCCAAGCTTTCACCTCCAGAGGGGATCACAAGGAGCTGGAAACCCGGGATAAAACCCAAGGATGGGCTTTGCCTCCTCCCAAATCACAGAGCCCTGGACATGGCCCCATTTTATCAGCAGTGTTGGCACTCGGGGTTTTGTGCTGGCTGATAAGACACAGCTAAAAAAGGGCTCCTTCTCTGGCTCACAATCCTCACTCAGATCCACCTAAAAACGAGATAAATTTGGATCTATCAACCCAAGATCTGCTTCAGCTGCAGACAGCCAAAAAAGTCCTCCCAGCAAGAAGTTTCCCTGCTCTCTATCCTACTCCACCACATGGAAAGGGAGAAAATCTGATTTTTTGGGCCTTATTTACATCCACAGCAATTTGAGCCTCTAAAATAAAGAAATTTGAGACTGCTTGTTCTGCCTCCCCAGCCCAGCAGAAATATTTCTCTTCTCTCCTCTGCAGCCACTCTCCACATGTTTAAACTGTTTTGTCTGCCCTCAGGTATTTCCAGACTAAACACTTCTAATTCCTTGGCTTTCCTTATAAATCCTGAGCAAATTTCTTCCCAATCACCTTTGCTACTCCTCACCAACCTGGTCACTGCCTTTTCCCGGGATCCTGCTCCAGGATTTTGCTTGTTATTGGGAATATTCATCTGCAAGAGGAACTTTTCCTTCCAAAACCCAACAAAATAATTTGTGTTATCCCAGTTTTGGGACTAAAGGTGATCAGGGCGAGTAAAAGGCACAGGAACTGAGCAGTTGGAATTTTTAGGAATGGAGGAATTTTTAAAGTGGATGAGAGGTGCTGCTTGAAAGAAGGTTTTGTGTGAAAAGCAGCTTTCCCTTGATGTCTGCAATTGGATTTCTGGAATTTGCTCCTCTGGGCTTGAGTCACCTTTGAATAATTCAGTCTTTGAACAGGGCCAAATGTTTTAGTTTAAGGTTTGCTTGGAGGAGACCTGAGTGGAAAAAAAATCCAAAGGTTTTTTTTTTTTTTTTTTGCTTCCAAAGGGTTCAGCCCTCTTCTGTCACTGATTCTGCAACACAAACCAGGCAGGAAATCAGAGGTTGGAGTAATCCCCGAGAGAAAAAACAGCTCCTCACACAAATTCCTTGATTTATCCAGGGATTGTGCACCTGAATCCCGTATTGGAGCAAATATCCCAACTGCTGGATTTTGCAGTCCCTTTTTCCTTTAATAATCTGGGCTGATTTTGGAAGCTGGAGTGCACTGAGGGCTCAGGGGTGCAGCCCCACGCTGACTCGCTGGGATTTTACACACCCAACCAGTTCAGGAATCACTTTTTCCCAGTCAGGTCTTCCCAGCTTTCTGAACAGCCTTTTCCCAAGCTTCCAGCCTTGGGTGAGGAAGGTGAGATCCCCAAAAACATCAGGGTGAGTGAAGAAGGTGAGATCCCAAAAAACATCAGGGTGGGAAAGGTGAGATCCCCAAAATTATCAGGGTGAGTGAAGGAGGTGAGATCCCCAAAAACACCAGGGTGAGGAAAGTGAAATCCCCAAAATTGTCAGGGTGAGTGAAGAAGGTGAGATCCCCAAAAACATCAGGGTGAGGAAAGTGAAAGCCCCAAAATCAACTGGGTGAGTGAGGAAGGTGAGATCCCAAAAAACATCAGGGTGGGAAAGGTGAGATCCCCAAAATCATCAGGATAAGTGAAGAAGGTGAGATCCCCAAAAACACCAGGTTGAGGAAGGTGAGATCCCCCCAAAATTATCAGGGTGAGAGAGGAAGGTGTGA